TTGTACACCATGAAAGTGCTAGGGGATCAATGATTTTATAGTCTTAGTCATCAAAGAATAACTTGATGTGGAAATCGAAGATGGCTGCCAAAATGAATATGTTACTATTAATATGTGTTCAAAGTGATCTTGGAGACCATGTCTAGGTTTCAATTGTCGAGAACTTTAATTATGTCTAAAACTTAATTATCAAATAATTCTTTTATTTGAATATTCAGGATGGCAACCAAAATGGCTGCCAAAAGAATAAGTAATTTTGGAATACATTTATTTGAATATCCAAGATGGCCCTAGTGAGATGTAACATCTCAATTGTACCCTCTTCATCGCAGCAATGAACTGGATTGTGAAAGCAGAAGAGTCCAAGTAAAGAGGTCTCAAAGTGAATGATGACACAAAACATCCTTCTTGCCAAGCCTTTATGGACATCATCACTGTTATGACCTAGTCATTCCCCGATGGAGCACAACGGATTCTAAGCTGCCTCAAGATGATGGCCAATTGGGCATGTAACTAGTACAATCCAAGGAATCTTTTCAGCTGAGTGGTATACAAAGGCAGCTAGTGTGCAATTATTCATACTACCTATGATGAGATAATTGAATATCTAGGGAAATATTTTGATGAGTTTCTTAAAGATATCAACAGCATCTGTAAGAACTGGAAAAATGAATGAAATCTATTGACCTTAGCCATGTAGGGAGTTGGTTCAAAGTCTCATGCTTTCAGTTTGGTGTTATTCTCCTACGACTTTTCCAACTATGTGACTTCCATTACAACAACAGAGGCTGAGGAGAAAGAGCAACATCGACAGAGTAAGAAGGGGTGACTTGCAAAGGTTACCTGGGAGTAGATAGGCATCTTTGGTTCCAATAATCTCAAACAAACACACACCCAAAAAAGGTTAATAAGCATTTTAGCACTCTGGGAATCAGCTCTTGACAATAGACCAAGTTAAATTTTGGTGTATCCCGAAAGCTCTAATTGACTCTAACTCCAAGAAAAAAGAAAAAAGAGAAAAACAAAGAAAATGAAAAACAAAGACAACACAAATGAGAAAACACAAATAAACCAGTCGTAAAAAATCTAAAAATTTAACGCATCGTCAATTTAATGGTCATCTTTTGAATTGTAACAATATAATTTGAAAAATGTATATATACTTTCATCTATATTTTTTTAGAAAACACATCAAACACTTGTTTTGTTCTTGGTATCATGTTTCCAGAGTGAAATGAACATAAACAGAACATGTTTAGGTCTCTCAATATTGTAATTGTACAAAGGAAATTTTGATTGATTTTAAAAAAGTATCTTGTTAATGAAATAAAAGGTTTATCTTGATTTTTATCTATTTTGGGGGGATTTTTGTTTAATGAAATAAAAGGTTTATCTTGATTTTTATCTATTTTGGGGGGATTTTGTTTTAATTTAAAATCAACCAAAAATTCCTTTGTATAACTATAATATTGAGAGGTCTAAAACATTCTCAAGAATTGGTATAAAGGAGCAAAACGACATAAACAGAACATGTTTAGGTCTCTCAATATTGTAATTGTACAAAGGAAATTTGGATTGATTTTAAAAAAGTATCTTGTTAATGAAATAAAAGGTTTATCTTGATTTTTATCTATTTTGGGGGATTTTGTTTTAATTTTTGAATACTTTTTTAAAATCAAACAAAAATTCCTTTGTATAACTATATAATATTGAGAGATCTAAAACATGTTTTATATGCTATTTTGTTCCAACAAGGTTCGGAAAGACATTTTATTTCATTCTCAAAGCAGTGTAACAGTGCCATATATTGTCATAAAAAACATTTGTTGATATGCCGTCATTTTAATCATTGTCACTCTTTATGATGTATTGACTTTCTATTCAAGATAAGGTTCAACATTACAGATGGATCAGATCAAAAAATATTTTCCATAAATCATCATTGTAAATATAACATAGGAAGACTGCCTCGACATTTCACATACTTTGAAGGAGGCAAACTACCAAGACTTAGTTGATGAAGACAAGGCCAGAGGTTGGCACACTGTCCAGTACCCAGTGTGAAAACGTTCAAGAATTGTCAGAAGGGGTTTCCAGTTTTATGCCCGTCTATACTTTATCATTTACTTCTATTACTACTGGGGGGATGACAGTCATCCCCTCTACCCCCTTAATTTTTTTCAAAGTTGAACACCCCATGGCAAGAGCTGGATACATGTCTGGAGCTTCATGAACTACTATGAACTTGTACAGGGTGAGCCAAAAAATCCGTACACAACTGATATACTCCCTCGCTTATATGAAGCAGCCAGATCCTAATATTTTCACACAAGTTAAAGAAATCATCTGTCAGGAGCAAACATGTTAACCCCCATTTTTATTATTTGTAGTAATAAACGATCAAGGCGTACATAGGCATGGGGCACGACATAAACGAGATATTTAAAAATTGATTCACCCTACATTTCCATCTGAATGTAATGTCACTTAATAAAAGGTTTTGTGTCACCCAGTAATGCTGAAAAATTTGTTATATTGTAGCAAGGTCGCATTGACCTAAATGAATACAATACTTTCTCAGTTAATACAACAAATAGTTGTATTAACTGAGAAACAGTAAAAAAAATAGGATTTATTCTTCTGCTGTGCAAGAAGGAGGTTAGCAAGTCACGGCTGCTCCATCCTCGAAAACGCTTCACACAAAGTCATGGCATCAATAGCCTTTTCTATAAAGGGGAAAACTGACATGGTTTTCATTGAAAAAGAAGCAAAGATGAATGCAGAATACTACCAAAAAAATCAATTAGATAAAATCTTCTACCACAGATAAGGCGCATATTCAGATACTCTTATTTTTCAACAGGATGGGGCGCTATAGCATCAAGCTAAATCGACAATTGACTTTCTTAAACAGAAAACACCTGCTTTTATATTCCACCTGATATGTAGCCTCCAAAATTCCTGGACACCACTCTTGCGCTTGGGGTTGTCCTGAAAACAATGTCTACAGACACCCTTGATCAATTACTAGTACATCGTTACAAACTCTACAACAGAAGATAAAGAGAGAATGGAATGCTCTTGCGATTAAATCATACTGCAACAGTATATACACAATAGAAACGTATGTACTTGTCCTAACTTTTGCATATTTCAGATAGTTATATATAATGTGCAGTAAAGCTGTGGCCTTTTGTAATTTAGGGAGTTTCAGCCATGTTAATTTTTCCGAAAATAACATGGCAGAGCATGGCAGAGAAGCATCAAAATATAAGAGACCACAGATATGATGGCTTAACTACAAAACAAACTAAAATATGCAAAAGTTAGGATATATATAAATGTTTCTATTTTTACATATATATAATACCATCAATATGGTCCTTTGATTGCTTATCTTTTAAATTCAAAGTAGTTCCAAACATTTAAAATTTTACTGTAAGCTACAACTTATCTTTAGTGGCAGGAATGGATTTCATTTTCAACTATATGAATAAGGACACAAAGAATGGTTTTATGGAACTCTGCTTGATTTTTTAACTGAATTGCATGTGTATACTAAATATAATCAACTAGGTTTTATTTTGCTAAAATACCATCAGAAAATGGATGGATATTTAATTTTGTTTACAATATATCAAAATACCTTACCATATGTGGTAAACTATTTTAAACTTGGTGAACTGAAACAAATACTTTGGCCTCTATTTCTACTATTATTTATTAGTTGATGATTGATCTAGTACATGACTAGAGAAGCTGACAAGGTGACTTTCAACAACAGTGTATGGTTTTTATGTTGATGAATGCAGTACAAGTAATATGTTAGTGGTAAAAATATAAATATACCCATTAGATGGCATTAATCACTGACACTGTTGCAGTGCCACTGAATTAAAAAGTAAAAACTTTGGTAGACTAAATATCACTTTTTATAATTCAAGACAACTTTAAAATGACAATTGATAATGATTAAATAATTTCCATATTTATGATACTGTATTCTCTTCAAATTGAAATTTAAAAGGATTTTGAGATATTCCAACAATCGCACATACAAAAAATTTAGAAACAAATGTTGCCAATAATATTTTAGTTTGATATCACGAGGGTTACATACTCTTAACCTCTTAAATTTCCTTCTCTGAATTAAAATATAGTCATCAATCATATCTTGTGTAAATGATTGAGACTAATGCATTTAACTTCATTTTTTCTTGAGACCATATTCAACATGAAAGTGGCATGTGCGGTCATTGGAACTGTGCGGTCATTGGAACTGTGCGCATATTGGAGAAAATAGATACCTGTCAAAATATATCATGTTTTAAATGTCATTTCATTTTGACTGAATAAGTTCTTACCTTGACCATACAAAAAACAAGTATTTTTATGTCTCTGCATTGTAAATGCACATATTTCTGTATATCTAGTATTTCAATTGTACCAAAGTATAATCTTTAAATTGCTTAACAAGATTATTCACCATTTTACTATGGATAATAAAATACAACATGTGAGTTCATCATTTAATATAATCTAGTTTTAAATAATATCATAAGATGTATTATTTACTATTAATGAGATAAATAGTGGGTATTTTACCCGAGGAGAGTATATATAATTCACTCTTAAAAATTATTACTTGGATTTCCTTATATTGAGAAATTGTACTACTCATTTTAAGTCAAAAATTACTTAAATAATCTTGAACTACTGAATAATTTTTAAGTAATTTTTGAGTAATTCATTTATGGTGAATTTACTAATGCAAGGAGAGAAATTGAAATACTTACTGTAGTAATTGTAATACTCATTTACATAATTAAGCAATTAAAAAACTCAAAATGACAATATAAGTTAAACCTAAGTGAAATGAAGTAAAACTAAGTATTTAACTTTAAGTAATTTTTATACTTGGGAAATACTCAAAAAATTCATTTTTAAGAGTGTTATTAACTTGCTAAGGATAATATTGATGTTTCAGATGGATGATATTCCCCGTATTTGGATCAGAAAATTCTCAACAGTACTTTTTGCTTGGCATCCTGATGGAATCTGCAAGCCAGAAGATTTTATGATTAAAGCAGATCGTATCATAAAGTCAGGTAGAGGGGAAAAAATTTATTCTGCGATTGAAAATATTTTGATATCTTTCAAAAACCTTGTTTCAGTTGGTTTTACATTATAGCAATTCATAAGATATTTTTGTAGTATAAATATACACATAGAAGATATCTTATTTTTTTACTCTTGATTGTTTTTTGATAGTGAATGGATGATATTTCCATAAGCAGACAACTGATAAGGAGATAAAAAAATATTCAGGAGTCCGCATACAAATCATTTCATGAGTAAATCTTGAATATTTGTCCTGTTCTAAATTAAACTTTCAAAACTTCTATTGGCCATTGTTACTTTAAGGCTCATGTAAAGTCAAGTAACAAAAATGTGTTAATCATCAGGTACGACAACATGGTTTAAAAGCCTTGTCCCATGCTTAAATTAGTGTAAATTTTCTAAATACATATATTTATCCACTGCTTACAAAAAGTACCAAGGTATATGTTCCTTGGTATATACATATGAAAGGGAGGCTGCATCCGGAGACTGCAGAAGACGTAGAGATTATCCTATATGAGGTTCAGGATATCGGGATTATCCCGAGGCCAATATAATATACCTGCCCGAGGGCCGTAGGTCCCGAGGGTAGATATATTATATTGGCCAAGGGAAAATCCCAATATCTTGAACCGACTATAGAATGATCTGTTTATACCATACCAATCACATTGTTCAATTGGCCAAAGTTCAGAAACTTAGCAACAAACCGTGGAATTATTTTAAAATATTCATGTCCAGTTTTGTATTCTTGTCCGTAGCCGGATTTTCCTGTTCAAATTATTGATTATTAACGGGGCATACTGCTCCTTCCCTTCTTGAAAGCATATAACAGATCGCGATTGTCTGCGTTTTTCTCAATTGCCGTTTACAGTATGCGAACGTTACAAAAAAGGACCAATACGGGAACAGCGATTATGACGTAGCGGGCAGATATACTATATCTGCCAGCTCGGAGCGGGACGTAAAGCTATATCTGCCCGCTGATGAAAATATAAGTTTTTACAAACCGGCTTTATGTACCCGTAACACGTCCAAGTATGGGATAAAGAGGGATACACCCTCATATTTTTAAACACTTGATCGGTTCTTTTCCAATGAGAAAGCGAGAAACATGAATGAACCAATGAAATAATAAATCTAATTATGAGGAATTTCTCTGTCATTGCCTTACTTTGATTTTATACTCAATTCATTTGGTTTATTTCTTCAGGATAACCTTATAATAATTATTTCTAGACTGTACATATCATTGGGACCTTGCTTGTTATATGATGCTTTAAGGGAAATCATGGTTCCATCCTTGATATTGGAAGCAAAAACAATTTCATCTCAACCCATCAATTTATCAGATTCCATATTTGCAGAGAATACCTGTATAATAAATTCCTGTAAAGTTATATGCCTTGAAATCATTCATCATTCTATTCTTTTCCAGCTAATTTACAAGGCCCTTCAGCAGATACAGTTGTAGACATATTCAGGGCATTTGGAAGTGGTATAGAAAAAAATTCCTTTTCACAAACATGGAGTTCACGAATAGTGGAATTTTGGATAGCGATAAAAAAAGGAATGCCGACTGAGCCTGTCGAAGAGTTCTTTGCTAATTTGTTTAAGGCAAGTTTTTTTTCAAATTATTTACGGGGACTCCAGGGCATATGGCTGACAGATTGCATGAATATCATTATATTGTTGACAGATGTACCATTCAGCAACGGTAAGGCGTAGCAAATCCCATTGAATATCCTGGCTGCCATTTTTACAAAATCCCTCAACTACTTTTCCAATTATTGTGAAAATTGTAAAATAACATTATAAAAATGGCCGCTTACTAGCTGAATTTTCATAAGGAAGTGTAATTTTCTTTTTTATTTGGCACATATCAAACAACAAAATCGCTCCACTACTTTTATTGAAAGTTATTGAAAAAAAGTAAAATGCAAAGTCACAAATATGTACAACAATATGACCCCCACCAATGGGTGATCTTACATAGATTTTTCCCGGGGTTCACAACACTAATCAGTTGAAGAGACAAAAGACAGGTAATTCACATTTACCCCAATGTGGGCGATACATTTTTCATAACACTAATGAGCAGAGTCATATGAACCCCCCTGGCCTTTCTAAAGTTGAAGAGGTCCAAAAACCAAGGAACCATATTATAAGTCATTCAAAACTCTCAAGGAAGGTGTATTAAAATCTCAAAAGAATAGGTCAAATGAGGTAAGGTATAGAAAAGATAGAAGGGGAGTTTTTTGGTTATTTTGATTTTTTTGTACTATGTTTTACCTTGTAATATGGCTTGCTTGAAGGTTTACTCATTATAATATATGGCCTATATTCAAAATAGAATTAAAAATAGAACAGCTTATATTTTTATTCAATGAAAACAAGGACAGAATAATGTACACCACATCCCCACAAATGGGTGATCCTTAGCATTTACCAAGAATGCCCAAAAATTAATCTGTTTGAGCATGTCATATAAAAATCATCACTAAAAATGTGACATTGACCAATCAAACAGTTTGCCTGGAAACGTATAGACATGACTTTACAGACAGCCTTAACCACTGTTCCACAGCTGAATGACTCTAACTTCAGTTAGCTTCATTCAAGATGGTTGCCAAAAATCTTTCGTTTTCGATAAACCTTCGATTTCAGCTGAACTAAGTTGAATCTGGGTTCCAAAAGTTATGATTGTAAACAACCACAAATAAAGGCTCAAACACCCGCAATATTGGAGAAATTTAAAGAAAACGGCCCTCACTTAGAATGACTCTAACTGAAGTTGATGATGAAGTAGGAATGACACTAACAGAAACGGAGAATGAAGCTAACGTTATGGGATGAATACATGCACGGTCTTATTGCTATGGACTGTTTTTGTTGGTTGATATCATTTCTGTTTTGAAATAGGCTTAGTATCTATTTAATTCTAGCACCATCGCATGGACAGTGAGAGACGCCCAGCTTACTTTCATTATATTTATTGCAATGAGAAGTGATTATTGTACACTTTCCTTTTGATCACCTTGGATCCAATTTATGACATTTATGATGAAGATGTTCTTTGGTATTTAAAAAATACATTGCTCTGTCATTGCTGTCTGGATTTCAGGAAAGTATGTGGCTCGAATGCCCGTCCAAATCCTCATCTCAAAATTTCTTTCAAAAACTGAGGGCTAGAGATATACATTCCTTTTTTCTAAAAGTTGAGTAGCTTATTATATTCTAAAAGATTTGGCTTACTGTAGTAGGTTCTTCAGTTACTGTAGCAGGTTTTTCAGCTACTGTAGCAGGTTCTTCAGTTACTGGTGCTGTTGCTTCAGTTACTGGTTCTTCAACTGCTGGTGCAGGTTCTTCAGCTGCTGGTTCTTACGTTGCTTATGCTTCAGTTGCTGATGCTGGTTCTTCAGTTGCTGATGCTGGTTCTTCAGTTGCTGATGATGGTTCTTCAGTTGCTGATGCTGGTTCTTCAGTTGCTGATGCTGTTTCTTCAGTTGCTGGTGTTAGTTCAACTGGTTCAAGTTGAACTAACTAAAGTTCAAGTTGGGTCTTCAGCTGCTGATTCCTGAGTTGCTAATGCAAGTTCTTTATAGCTGCTGCTGGTTCTTTAGCAGCTGGTGCTGGCTCATCAGCTACTGCTGCTGTTTTTTCATTTAGTGGAGTAATTTCGATGACATTTTATATTTGAATAATCATAAGCATGAAATACTTTCTAATGACAATTTCCCTCATGAGCAACTATTTTGAAAAATTGCTACCATTTTTATGCATTTTACTATAACTCAAAAAGTAATGAATGGCTACTTTGAAGCAAAGGTCCATGTGCAGTATGGCAAGTGATTTTAGACAGTCATATCTTTCACCATGAGTTATTTCTGGACATAAATGCTGTTTTTTTTTTATTAAAACAATATTTTTTCTTTAAAGTGAAGTCCCCATGATAATAAAATATAAATCCAACTCTCTGAAAAATTATGGATTAGGACCCCACCTTGTCACTTTTTTAAAACTGTAAGGCTTATTTTCGAAAAAGAGGATCTTGTTTTCCTCAATTTAAATATATCAAAAGTTTCTTCTACACTATATTCATAACTTCTGAAAAGGGGATGGGTATTGAAATGTGATAAATGATAATAAAATATAAATCCAACTTTCAATACCATTCTACTTTTGAAGATGTTTTAGATCCTTGTTGGATATTGTTTCCATGCAATAAAAATCAGAAAAAGAAGATCCTTTTGAGCAAATAAGTTCAACATTTTGACCCTTTCTATAATTTTTGAATTGTTCGATTGACATTTTTATCATCATGGGGACTTCACTTGAAAGAAAACATATTGTTTTAATAAAAAACACTGTATTTATGCCCAGAAAGTACTCATGGTGAAAGATATGACCATACTGCACATGGACCTTTCACCTTCTTCAGACAATTTTGCCAGTGAAACTGAAAACTTGAAAAGTAGGGGATCGTTTCAATTGAATTCTTTGCGTGAATCATTTGAATTTACTTAACATAACATGTACTTAATTAACTTAGAACCATCTTTTACATTCCAATGACACGGTCTTAGTAACGACACAAAATTGGCAGCCATTTTCATGACGTATTATTTTATGGTTTTGCTATAACTTAAAAGATGTATGTAGAAAGTATGTTGTAGAGTTGTTTTGTTTATATTTCCTTAGTATGTGAATACTTAAAAGCATAACACACTGGCAACAAACCAATGTTCCGAAACCCAATCGCCCGAGTCCCAAATCGACCGATTTTTGGGAGAAGTACTGAGCCTATAGAGTATTTTTACACTTCACACAGCATTTATATTGTAATTATAAATATACTTTTGGACACCCTGTACAATTCGATTACTGAGACGTCAAAAAAGCATCCTAACAATATTATCCAGTTTATCTAATATTTTGGGTTCAATGGGCGTTTCATTCAAACAAGGAATAGATAAGGTCGAACTGTCGAATGGTGTTTCATTTCATTCTCATATTTTAGGATTTTAAAAATATTTCAATTGCAACAGCTACAATCTGAGGTTGAGAATACGCAAACGATACAATGTGCAAAACATTACACGTTATATTTCCTATAAACAAAGCTAATAGGGGAATAGATTTTATTTAATAATCACACACCAACGTGAAGTTTTATTCCATTCGGAATAAAACTTAAATATCCATTCAGTTAGAGTCACCAATAGTGAATATCATGTTGGTGTTAGCGTCATCATCAACTTCAGTTAGAGTCATTCTAAGTGAAGCCGTTTTCTTTAATTAAAATTCTCCAATATCGCGGGTGTTTGAGCCTCCATCTGTGGTTGTTTACAATCTGAGCTTTATTATTTTGCATGGCGAAACTTTTGGGATACAGATTAAGCTTGGTTTAGCTGTAATCGGGCGTTTATCGAAAATGAAAGAATTTCGACAACCATCTTGAATGAAGCTAACTGCAGTTAGAGTCATCCAGCAGTGTGGAACAGTGTTAACATTGACCCAGAATGCACAAAAGCTTGAACCGCAACGATTTTCATACAAAGAATCATCCTTGCAAACTTTTTTGTAGATTGAGCATTAGTCAACAACTATCAATAAAGTCCTGAGTCATAGATAACAACTAGTTTATCGTCTTCTCAAGTTTATCTTATTGAAACTCCCTAAAAATGTTTTAGAGTCAACTTTCGTATGTTCTTCTTCCATTAATGAAAACAAAGTTGACACTTTTCTCACATTTCATGCCTTTGTGAATGTAAGCAATTCTAAATAAAGGAAGTTTGGGCCCTATAACGCTTTTTCATTCCTCTGTCTAAGGATATGTATTTGTTGCCAATGGAAAGTACAATCAATTCCCGAGAACAAATGCAACACAGTATCGCCCTCTGAATTTGCTGTGAAGCATAATCTTTGTTTCTGTAGGATAAGGTCACCATTTTTGTTATAAAATGATCAGGTTTATTCCATATAAAATATCTAAGCACAAGTGCCAAATGGAGAGGACCGAAAACTGTAAATAAACCTAGCAAAAAAGCAAACTCCAATTTCCAAAACAATCCCAACATCATTCAGCATCTCCAGTGGTAAAACTTGAAACTTTGTTATAGTCCCTGATCTCACTGGGGAGTATCGTGATGCAACAACACCGTGTTGTTGCATCAAGATGGCCAGACTTCCGGTGATAGATTTTGGTACGATATGTTGTTTCCCCAATTTAAACCCATTTCTAGGACGAGTTTCTCAATAACCATACACGTGAAGTTAGCGCACGATCTATATTTAAAGAAACTGTCATTAGTAGTACATGTAGCATCATCAAGAAGCAAGAAGTTCACGGTTTTAGTTCCTCACTATTGATGCAACAACTCCAAACCGAAGATGCAACAACACTCCTCTAGATTTGAGCAGTGATGCAACAACACCAATTAATAGTATAATTTCAGAAGACCGGGCCAGTACCCATTTGCGTTCTTCTCAGGCATTCAAAATACACACACTCCTGCGGGCGAAGATTCTTTATATGTATTTTCAAAAATTTATACTTTTAAATATCATAATGTACTGGAAGTTGTTTTATAACATAGTTCAATCGCCTTCAACAT